GAGCAACCTGAATCCATGTACCATGGTTGCACATGTTGGTCCTGCAAGACAAATTAAGGGGTTTTAGGTACCCATTTCTTAATGGGTCCACGTTTGTTAGTAGGAGATACCACTCACTTTTCATCACCCTTAGCCTTTGCAGGCTTGGATTTATCAGCATTTCCCTTGCCCATGGACTTGGGCTTTTTTACGATTTCTTTGGTTTTAACTTTATAGCGATAAACGTGTTGGGAGAATATGTAGCGATGTGTCAACATGTGATTCCTCAGGTTTTGTAAAAGAGCTAAACATTTACAATCATTATACTTTGGACATGAATGTCTAGCGTTCTTTTTATTCGCTAAAAATGAAGAAGTAAATGTAGGGGATGTAAATCCTGTCCTAGCATTGGTTGTTTTTACAAACTTCCTATCTAGTTCATATTTTTTATTTGAAGGGGTCTTTGTCTTTACTTCTTTTCTCCAGAGGAAGGACTGCTTTTCTTCAGTTGAATGAGAGGAAAAGTGGTGGTTAGTTTTCTCAGAGGCAGGCCACTTCTGTTTTTGCTCACGAGTAAACTTAATGAACTTAGGAGATATGCTAGGGCCTTTTGATTTATCGTTGGTAGATTTGGTATTTCTCAGTTTTCCCTTTCCTTTGTCCGAAGATTTCATCGATGAAGGAATACCATATTTCATTGAGGGTTTGGAGTTTTGAGGCTTCTTCCAATTGGCTTGCCAACTCATCCCATAGTTCCTTGGCTGTGGAACATGCATCAAGGGATTGGAAGATTTCATTGGGTATGGCCATGATTATTAATCTTTTGGTCTTTTTGTCGGTCTCAACCCGCTCTATGTCGTCTTCATCCCAATTCTTCTCATCCTTGGGCATGTAGTAGGCAGGAATTTCTGCTGTGGTATTTGTTCCTGGGACTCTTGGAACAAGAGTCTGTGGAACATAGGGACCCTCCATGACAGATCGCAGAAGATTTATGCCCATCCCTTCCAGAAAGTTGACCATCCGTATCCTCCATTGTGGGTACTCTTGTCTTTGAAGAGTTGGAGGTTTGGTGAGGGAACCAACACTATAGGTGGAATTCCAGTTGGCCATTAAGATTTTTAGAAGAGAGAAAATTTACGTTTTAGAGAAGATATTTTGTGAAAAAAAAACGTGAATTAAGAGATTTTTAATGATCGTTTGATTGGAAAAACAATCAATTGGCTCTGATACCRATTGTTGATCTCAGATCTCTCAATAACACTAATAATCAAGTTAAGAATAATCAAGTTAAGAATAACCAAATTATAGTGTTTGAATGAACAAAATGATGAACACTCAAGAATAATGTATGAACATTCAAAGAATAATCTTGAATGCCAAAGATTTCACTTTATTCAATAATTATGTAAAACGTAAAGCGTCAAAAATTACAATAGGTCTAATCACCTGTTTATACTAGAAAGCTACTAAGAAGATAACTATCTAGTGAGACTATTTAGCTAATCTTCTACTAACATATAAAGCTTATCTATAACAAGGATAAACATTAAAACAAGATAAACTTTGTAGAATCCAGCTGTTGATTGATCATCTCCAGTTGTCAACCTTATCTTCATATATTCATTGCTTGCCTCTGGTTGAACTGGTGAAAGAAACTCCAAGTGTTAGTATCCAGAGGGGTTATGGAGATGCACTTTCCATCGCATCTCTTGTCAGTTCATCGACCCTCTGGTTGTTCTTCAGACTTAGTCATTTTTCCTTGAAGTCTTCCATTGGCCTTCTGGTTCTTCATCACTTGTTTGTCTTTATTACTTCATACATAATACTTATGGGGTTTAACAGACCGTAAGCTCTGAATCAGTTGTGGCTGGTGAGCTTGAGAGTTGTATTTTAGATGTATGTGGGAACTTGAGTGGTTAATCTTCTTATGTGGTAAAATTGTCTTATAACTTGCAGTTTTGTTTACTAAAGTTATATTTGATATAAAGTGGTTGGTTCTTTTAAATGTGGATTACGAATAGGTTTTGGTGATCTTCACCTTGTAAATGTAAAACAATATCTTACTACACCTCCTGGTCTAACACTCATTTTGTATTTTAAAAATATACATCGTAGGAACAGATGGGTCTCGAGATATTAAGGGGAAGGGGAAAATATGATTATTTTTCTAATATGCTTATCTGATGTTTGAAACCAACCTGTTGAATGATATATTTTGAAGATACGTGTTGTTATACATGTGATAGTGTAGGGATATTCTTTTGGAAAATTTCAGTTGTAAATTCTGTATATAAGATCTTTGTACTAATGGGACCTTTGTGGTGTAAATTGTATTTCTTTTATATGAAATACATGTTATATGCAAATGTGGAGGCATGAGGTGTTACATAGGGGAAGTTGGAGGTCTTCTAAATGAGTTGAGAACAAACCATGTAAAGTTTTGACTATTAGAAAGTCAACCCGTAGGTTTTATAACATGCTAATTAAGTGAGGGGTATTTCAGCCATTTTACCATTTTGTTTTACATATTTTGGGCACAAAGTTTTTGAAGCATACATACAAGAAGTTCAAACATTAAAAAAAACTAAATTCTAAAACTACCCCCAACAACTTCTGTGACGTAACTCCACCCCCTAAATCCAAAAATGCAACTCCCATCATTTTCATCGAAAACTTCTTTTGAACAAACTCAATAACACCATAAACACGACGAACACCCACATTCTCAATATCTCATCTCTCTCGTATAAGTGTCTTGTTCTAAAAAACAACCACCTCAAAGTTGTTTGTTCTTGGATATACCTACGCCTATCATTTTTCAGCCACAACATTACTAGGCAAATTAGAGATCAAAAGGGAGCCAAATGCTTTATTTATCACCAGGTAAAGATGAATCTTTTAGTCGTTGCAAATGAGAATGAGAGTGAGAGAAATGACAATTTTACTGAAGACGTTGAGGGCCATTTTACTTCAATTCACCTTGTTAAAGCCTCCATTTAGGTTTGGCGTTACTTCATATAAGGCTTGAAGTAGAGATCTAAGATATAATCGATAATGGTGGGGAGAAGGTTAGGTTTCGGGTCAAAGGGACAACCTTAAATGGATATAAGCTGAATTTTCCTTTTACCACAGGTAAGATGTCGTTTGCTTCTACTTTTTCTACTGCTTTGAAGGTGTGTGTGGTGGCGTCATGGAGGGGATGAGAATGGGAGGTAGTTTTAGGATTTGGGTGGGGTTTTTAAACACTTGTTCATGTGCTTTACAAACTTGTACACTACTAAAAAGTTAATAAAAAAGCAAAATGACTAGGTTGTCCTCACGTCACTAGCATGTTATATGTTAATTTATGGAAAAATTAACGATTTAACGATTGGATAATGGTCCTATTATAATTATCAGAAGTTAGGGGAAAAAACTATAATTTCCACAAACCAAATAGACAATTTTGATAATTTACTATATCTTTTATTACAAACTATCACGACATGTCCTAGGTTCTTATGCCCTATGCGGGAATGCTAAAAAAAATGCTCCAATCCTAATTTTCTAAGCAAACGAAACGTACTATTTTTTAAGGGTTTGAGACCTAGTCATGCAAAGTGGCTCATCCCCACATCGAAGGAATCAAAACAGTCAAACGAGAAGTGATGAGGAATAGTAGAAATCACTTTGATTGTTCACTTGTGTGATGACCATTTTCACTCCGTCTTTCTTTATTTAGATTAATAGCTTAGTTAATTAAACCAAAGCTAGTAACACATAAAAACTCGATACCCCTTGAACTAATAATGCTTTGTACGGTCACACAGGCTGCAAGTGGTCAAGAACGAGCCTACAAACTATTAGATATGTTTAAATAAAAACTAGTTAATATCATTTTGAATTGTAGTTAACATTTAGAGAATCTCCGGTCAACCGACATAACCCTTGTTGTGCATCTCCAATCGACCGGCATTTTGGAAAAAAAAAATTAGCGGCCAAAGTTTGTGAATGGCAAATACCCGTGGGAAAAGTGACGGGCATATTGGTGGGGACCACCCCCATCAACATTATAATATTATAATCGTTAATCTACTAAATGTTATATAATAATTTTTTCATTAACTTACATAATATAGCGAGATACATCTTAATTTTAATATTTCATTTTATTATTTATCTTAGTCGACGTCAAAGTATGGTTTTATGTGATTTTAACAAAACGATAATGTTTTTATTTTTGAATAAAATATAAATTTAAAGATATCATAAAAATTTGACAAAAATGTATCGATATTAGTATCAAATTAACTATTTAAAATTCTTATTTTTTTGTAATTTTGTAATTTAATTTTTTAATAATAATTTAATTTACGTTCAATAACGAGGTAATTTATATTTGGTTTAATAATATATTTTTTTATAAAAATAATAATTATTAGTTTGTTAGAACTCGATTATTATCTTAATTATATTTTATATTTTTTATATTTTAAAATAATATGTTTATCTTTTATTTGATTATGTTTATCCGTATTTAGTTGCACGAATTCAAACATTGAGCTTTAATAAGTTGTATTTATACATAATTTATTTGTAATCTTTAATTTTAAGTAATATGTATCAATATATAATATTTCATTCATAAAAATTGATTTTTAATAATTTTTATCAAATACTTTATGATATAGTATAGATAAATAAATTAACATATATTTATATATAATAAATATATAAATTAACACATAATTTATATATAATAAATTATAAATAAGACAAATATTTAATTTTTATTTATATTTTTTTAGTTTATGTTATTTGAATTAGGAAAAAAAAACCATAACACAAGACTAATTAATCAACTTAGATTTGAAAAAAAAAAATGAAAGAAAAGCTAATTTCATTGATCAACCATGAAAAAATAAACCATTTTAAGACATCACGCCTTCCAACTCTGTCCTCCCCCAAAAACCCACCCTCACCCACAACTCCAAATCCCAAATCTCTCTTTTTCAACCTGTAAAGTTGCACACCTTCACATGCCCTCCATCTTCATCCCTGTGAACCTTTATCTGGAGGCTGCACACCAGCTTTCAAACCCTAACATGCTTTCATAATGCCATTCAAACCCATCCCTTTTCAGTCTTTCAAGAAAAATCAAACCTTTCTGAAGAAACAGTGTGTGTTTTAGTGTGTTTTGTGCGTGAGACCTTGATGGGTCGAGATGATGTTCATCAATGGGGGTTCTTGCCACCGACGGAAGCTCCATCATTGTACACACAAGAACAAAGAGATGATCATTGGAGACATTTTGATAAGTCTGTAAATGCAATCTCTTTTGGGTTTGTTGCTACTGCCATCTTGATCTCCATGTTTCTTGTTATGGCCATTTTTGAGAGGTTTCTGAGAACCTCGTCGCCGGTGTTGTCACCGGACGGTGGTGGTGGCGGTGGCCGGAATGCTGCCGGAGAAGTTGATTCCCAGATGGGTTTCAATTCAAAATTCGATCACTCCTCTCTCAAGGTGAGTTATCACTTTACAAACTATCGAACTATAATCTTTTTCAAAATTCTTGCGGATAAGAACAGATAACTTGCATATATTTCCACATTTTCTCATTTCTTGAATCTGTGGATGATTGGGTTTTGTTTGATAATGCTTGATTTTCCATTTATTGCGTGCATTTCTTTCTGAATTCCATTATATATTTAATTTTCTAATTTCAAGAATTAACCCCTAATCTATTTTAAGTGAAAGAAAAACCAGTTTTTCCTTTCCTACCTTGATAATGTAAAAAAAAGGGTTCTTTTTCTTTGCAATTTCATCTCTTTTACCAATCTTCAAATAACTGCATTTTAGGGGATATTATGGAACAAAAAATTGGTCACTTTAGTGTTAAACTTATTAGAGATATCTATGGAGTTTGATTATATATACATGAAATGGGGTTGAAAGTGATTTGTTAGTACAAATTTCATTCTTTTTGTGGGGTTTTTTGGAGCTTTTTTGAAAAAGTTTATGTTGTTCCTTTTGATTTTGCTTCTTTAAGTGAATAACCCAAATTTCTTTTATGAATTTGTGATGGGAAAGAATGCTTGGCAATGGCATGGCCCTCTTTCTCAAGACATGGCCATGCTTCTGCATGCCTTTTTTGTCTCTCTTGTAAGTCTCAACTCTCTAGTCATGGGCCCTTCATTCAACCCCCTTATCTATTTATCATAAAACATTGCAATTTGTTTCAGTCTTTTTGTGTCTATATCTGTCTGCCTGATGTCTTAAAAGATAGCTATGTGTTGATATTGTCTCCATCTTGTTTTAAAGAAATCTAAGAGTAACTAAATAGGTGTTGTAGTCATTTCGATCACTTAGAACCCGTTTAACGACCTTCAGAAAGCCCTCTAGATACCGGTTTCAGTGTGGTATCAAGGTTTTCTAGTCACTTTGATCACCTAGAAACCGTTTAACGACCTTCAAAAAGCCTTCTAGATACAGGTTTAAATGTGCATTAAGGTTTTGTAATCATTTTGATCACTTAGAAACCGTTTCAAAAGCTCTCTAGATTCAGTTTTCAGTGGGGTATCGGGGCTTTTTCGCACCTTTTGGTATAATAACACTTCATCTTTTGTGTGTGTTTATCTGTAATGTTGCTTGTCTACCCACCATGGAAATGCTTGTAATTAGGCATCTTTATGATTTTCTTGAATTCCACTTGGCTAGTGGCTAGTGTCCAAAGTTTTTAGAATATGGTTAATGGAGTAGGGTCATGGTTTTTATACTATGCCCACAAGACAAATAACAAGAGGGGTGTTGAATCCATTGGGCATTTTGGGGTCTCTTTAATTCTATGAGCATGTTGATGTTCCCTCAAAAGAAAAAATACTATTTTCTTGATTAGGATAGTTGAATCATGGACCCATGTATCCAATAAATTTCTTGCTGGTTTCTTGGCCCCAATTCTCTTTTGGGTAAATGGGTTATGCTACATCTGGTTGGCAAGATTATGATAGCCACATTCTCATTCCATATAAGCCAAATTATATGTATATGCATATACGGTTGGGTTCCGGTGAGAAGGGAAGTTATATTGAGAAATATAAGAATCATTGAATTAATCTTAATTGAATGTTAACACTTATGAGGTGCATTGGATCAATTCCCATCTAAAACGCAGTTCATGAGAATTCTTCTTACGCTTTCTCACCTTAACTCTTTTTCTTACACAATCCTTTCGCCTATTATCTGGATGACAAAAAGGTTGAGAGGTCGAGTGAAGAAAAAAAGATAACTTTGATGTGAAATTAAAAATAATAAAATGTTAGTTATTTTTAGGCAATTCTGGAGGTGGGATTTGTTTAAAAAAAAAGTTAAATCTAATCCATTGGATCATTTCATGTGATTGAGATCTTATTAATACTTTCTAAAGTGTAAAACGTAAATATATTTTTATTAGAATAATTCAAGAACGTATTTGGTTTTTATGTTTATTAAAATATATCTACGGTTATGAGATAAACCTGCCATTATATATATATTAGAAATAGGTTGGTGGTATTCTAATACTATGTATGATGTAGTTATTTATTTGTGGGGATCCGATGAAACCAACATATACCCTTAATCCATGGAGTGGAAAGAATCAAGACATGAATTCGCGCATACATTTTCAACCATTTTTGTATATACTAGTTTGATCCTAGTGACTACCAATTTGTTTGTCGTTTCTAAACCAAACAAATCCATTAATATTACATTAATCATCGAAAATAGAGTTTGTTTTTCGAAAACCCCAAACATTGACTCCTTTTTGGTTAAAAAATTGCAAAAAAAAAAAAGGATATATATATATATATATATAGAGAGAGAGAGAGAGAGAGAGAGTGTGTATGTGTGTGTGGTGGAAGATCCACAGAAAATCCCAAAAAAGAAGAAAGAATCGAAAAACTTACTCAAGCTGTTAGATCTAAATGATCCAAATGGGATATAATTAAGAAAAAAAGGTTGTAACAAATAAAAAATATCCTTATATTTTTATTGAAAATCGGCAAAATATGATCGAAATTGGAGCGAAACAAATTAAAAAACCAACCATTTCAATTAACATCCGTATTCATATATTTTCTTTGTGTTTTTCGTGGTCTTTTGTTATGTTTTCTAGGGGTTCTTTTTCACTTCCTAAACATGTAGAGAGTGAGTTTCAATTAGGAACCTAAAGTTAATTAATAACCTGGGAGCTGTTTAGAGCATGACACATGGCATATTTATTAGAAATATGGACATGTTATTCATTATGAATATGTTATGCATCATGAATATATATATATGGAAATGTTCAAATGACAACAACTTTATTTTACGAAAACATAGAAACATCCTTTTTACCAATAGTTAATCACATGTGATGTTAAAGAGTGTCTTTGTTTGCACCTTAATGAACATAGATATGAGGTTAATCACGAAAAGGTGGGAATACCCTTTGATTGTTTCTTGTTTTCTTGTCTTGGCATTGTTCTTGTTTGATCCCTCTCTCTTTCTCAATATATATATATATATATATATRTATATATATATATATATGTATATATATATATATATATATATATATATATGGGTTTAATATCATATGAGAACCACACAAATATTGAGAACCAATCTTAGCATTTCTTTCATACATTGCTAGAATTTTGTCTCACAATGTATTTGTTATAATTGAAACTCTAACTCGTATCATTTGTTTCATAACGGGAAACAATAAAGGTTTGATTGGTTTTCAATCTTTTTCAAGTTTTCATCCGATTATGTCCTTATATGTAATTAATGTTTTGTGGCACAAATTTCTAAGCGTACGAGCAAAGTCCTCAAGATTTTGCCTTCTTTTTCATTTTAGATATCTGAAAATGCGAGAGAGGTTTCGGTCTTGATGCCAGGAGAAGATGTTCCAACGTTCATTGCTCAACCGGCTCCTGTACCATGTCCATCAGAGCGCATTCCGTGGTTGGCTGACCCACGTATCTCATATCCAAAGCTCACTTCGAACTCAAACTCTTGATCAAATTAGGAGATGATGCCATTGTATGTCATTGGTTGAAGCCAAATCTCGTTCAAGTTCGCCAACACACGTACATTGGAAGACCATTACTAATATCCTTATTTCACCCTTTGTATTCTTTTTAAGATCCATTGCTAGAATTTGAAGGATGCAAGGTTTGATTCTCCATTGGCTCATGGTTAATAGACTATAACCCTAATATTCATGGGTTTATTTTGTATATATGGTTGGTAGTGAGATTACGAAAACGCCCCTCGACTATATGCTAATCTTCAATTTTAGCTTGTGTTGATGGTTCTTACACGAAAATGCCCCTCGACTATATGCTAATCTCAAATATTGCTAGTCTTCTTTTTACCCAACTCGTCTTATAAACAAATGTAACAAGCAGCCAAAACTTATCCTCCATCCATTTGAAATCTGATCAATTCAAATGGAAAACAAGATTCTCAAGTTACGGTTACAGGATAACAATATAACCCAACTATAACCCAATCATATATGTATAGTTGGGTTTACGTGAGACCAGTCTATTTTTGCAAGACTCATTAAACCATATTTTTACACTTGAAATTTCACAGCAAAACATTGTGAAGGTTAAAAGATCTAAACCTTTACAGCAAAACACTGTAAAAGTTACTTTGCTTTGAAGTTTTAAATGTAAGAAATGGTTTTCATGAAAATAGTCTGGTCTCACGTCATCCCAAGTATATATATATATATATATATATAACTTGTACCAGTTTTGCATTTGTATCATAAACCAGTACGAACAATATATATAATCTAACAATGATCATAATTACAATTTGTTTCCATTCATTCTCTAAACTATTAGAAGCTAGTTTTGCAAGAAAACAATACGTATTTGGTGTGTCGTTGAAACAAGAACAAAATATATAAGCAGCATCAAAAAGTTACAGGAAAATCCATCAACTAAACATATGATTTCGATGTTAAAATGATACTTTAGTGTTGTGTTAGCTCAAAATCGAGGTTATACAAGTGATTAGTAATGATTTTTAAGTCAAATGTGACACCTAATCATTATTAGACTAAAAAAGGAACATGAACGTTGTTTGGGGATAGTGATAAATTACGACTTCTGTGACAACTTCTAACATCCTACAACCTGCATGACTTTTTGACTTTTATTTATTCCTTTTTTGCACTTTAAAAGTAAATTTGTACATACATTTATCAAAAATGGGAAAAACGTTGCGGCGGAAGAGGTACTGCTAGTTTGAAGTACGGGTGTCAAAAAACTAACCGAATAATCCAGCTCAATTGAATCTGGTTTGTGTTAAAACAGACGGTTAACTGAATAAAAATACCTTAATTCTCGGTCTGGTTTTTACTAACCGAATAACCTAAATAAGGGGTCATTTACCAAACATTTACCTGATAAACGCTTATCGATAAAATTTAACACTATCATTTATTTACTGGGTAAGATTTTAGTCTACCAAAATGGTATCATATGCAATAATTACTTGGTAAGCGTTTACCATGGTAAGAATCGTCGCCCTCACTTACCGGGTAAGACTCTTGGTCATTGTCTCGCTCTTACCGGGTAAGATTCTTGATCCTTACCATATTCATCGGTAAGGTAATGTGACTTAGTGTTCACTTATCCGAATAAACGTTTGGTAAACGGCCCCTAAGACATTATATTATGGTTTTAGATTTTATCTATATTCAAATATATCAAATAATCACATTATATTGTTATTGTTTTATGTATTTTGTTGTTAGATAATGTTTTTTGTTTGATGTTATATCATGTTAAATGTTAAATTCCTGTTAAACACTCGAAACCCGCCATAAACAAATATATGATTAAAAAACAAAAAAGACCAACTTAGAACTAAAGAAGTACAACTTTTGATATCAATGTGTATGAAGATTTAGAAAGAATATGGAGGATTGAATTTTGTATTGAACTCAGTGACACTAAACATTTCTAAAGGTTGAATCGACTCAATTCTATGGGATAAATGTTCATTGATGGTACTACATTGCCATAAACAAATTGAAAATTCCCAATTCTGCAACAACTTGGTTAAACACTGGATTTGTAGAAGATTAATTTGTTAAAAACCATTCCAAGGGTTGATTATGGAGATTCTTGAAATATTCGGGCTTTCGTATGTAGAAAACCTAGATCACAATGCAAAACCATAAAGATTTTTGGGGAGTGAAACCAGAGATCAAAACCATTTTCGGGGAGAGTTTGATTGTTACAGTATATCACTGGAGTTGATTTATGGTTCATGTTCACAAAGCTGGAGTTAGAGGTGTTAACTTGATGGACCATTTTATGTCCTGAAACATGAAATAAGGACCACAAATATAGTAAAGGATTTTAAGTGGAAACTTGAGTAACGAGTAGATCTTTTTTGCAGTTTTCTAGAATTTGAAAGCAAGAACTCCTTTCTTTTTCTTTATTTGGTATAATTACTTGAGCGGGATAAAAGGAAACTTTTTTGAGGGAGGGAGGTCTTATCCCAATTTTTATTTTCCTAGGCTTATAGATAAGAAAAAACCTATTTTTTTATAATTACAAGGTTTATTGGGATATAAAATCCAACACACCGAAAACACAAGGACCAATTATGTAATGCACTCCTACTATAAAGAAAACGGTAATATTTTGTGGGCCATCCCCTCAACGGATTATAATCAAATGTCACAAAAAGTTGAGTCAGTCACACCAACTCAATCAATTCCCCACCAAATGCTCACCTCACAAGTTTCCTCTATTCACCCCGTCTTTTCCACCTAAATTACCCCCCTTAGCCTTTTAACTTCCCTTTACATATATGTATATAAAAATAATTAAATTATGTTATTTGTATAAACCTTATTTAATCAATTATAATTTTTAGTTTGTTTATTTTTTTAATTATGAAAGGTTGATTAATTATTTTTATTATGGATGGTGTTAATCATGAATATTATTTTAATTTTAGAGAAATACATAAAACAGTTTCATTAAAATTTCATTAAGTATTATATGAAACAATTTCATAACAATATATAAAACAACTTCATCAAAAAAAAAATATTATATGAAATAATTTCACAAGATTAAACAATTTCATGAAAAAATTTCATAAGATTAAATAATGAAATCGACGAATTAGGGTGGTTTGCACGGTTTGTACAAATTAGGTGGTTTGCATTTGATAGCTCATACACACACATACACACTTGGGATCATGTGAGACTTATTTGTTTTCATGAGATATGTGAGACCATCTTGTGAAGATAATATTCTTAGTGTTTTTATGGTAAAGGTTCAATTTTTTTTTTTTTTACTTTCATAATATTTTGCTGTAAAGTTTTAAGGGTAAAAATGCAGTCTCACGGGTCTAATAAAAACAAGTTGGTCCCATGTGCATTCAATCCTATATATAGATGATTTCATTTATAAACCCAACTACTAAACCGTTCACCTAATCTAATGAATATATGATTCAATAAATATTTGATTTAGTTAATATTTCAATTGTTTCCTAATATAAAACAATAATCATAATAAATAAATTTTAATAATATTTCATAAATATCCAAATTATAAGAAATAAATTCAAATCATTTTTATAAATATCTTAATTAATTGATTTATATGATATATATACTAATGGCTGGGTTTGTAAAAGGTCTCCTCCCGTCCTCCCCCCCTCTCTCTCTCTCCCTCCTATATATATATATATATATATATATATATATATATGGGATGGTTCAAATTTTAACCAAGATTATCGTGTTAACTTTATTAACCGATCTTGACCGTTAATTTGAATAATAAACGGTTGTGATTTAATGATATTTAAAAATTAATTATTAAATTAATATTTTCAATTAACATATGTGAACAAAATATCAAAGGGTATTTAGGTAAAAAGTAATCTAACTTTGATACACGAGTTGTCAGACATATGAACAACTAGTGTATATCTTCGAACCACATCAAACAAAAAAAATTAGACATATGAACAACATGTGAACCGTATGAACATCTTCTGTATATTCAAGAGGCAACTCTGCTCTATGTATATGAACACCTATGAATCAAGGCATCTAGGGCTGTGTGTTTTCATACGTGTTCACATGTTTTTATATTTTCTCTGTGTGTGTATGTATTCATATGAACATCTAGTGACTTGAATATACATGAACACTTATGAATCACGACATCTTAGGTTGTGTGATTTTTGATGTATTCATATGTCAAAGGTGAGAACTGTCGATTAAAATAAATGTGAATTATAGAACATGAACACGTGTGAAACCCCAATGTCAATATTGCATCATGATCAATTGTGATATTTTCAAATTTGTAACTCCCAATTAATTATTTGGGAGTTACATAAAATGACAAATTACTTAAATACCCTTGTATTTAATATATGAGTTACATTTGAACCAAAGGAAAAGAAGACATATGATTGGTTGAGCTTGGTTAACATAGTTAATACAAAAAAATTGGTTAGTATTTGAACCAAGCTCTCTCTTTCTCTCTCTCTCTCTCTCTATATATATATATATATATATATATATATATACTTGAGATCATGTGAGACCAAAGATTTTTTGCGAGACACGTAAGACCAATTATCAACCATTGGATTAGATCTACAATCTGACAATCTGAACATTCATAAACGCCACGAGACTTCTCAATAATCACAAAATTGTCACCGTGCAACTTTAGACCATTAGATCAACAGTTTATAAAGTTGATCAATGAACATAAATTGGTCTTACGGGTCTCACGAAAAATCCTTGGTCTCACATGATCTCAAGTCTCTCTCTCTCTCTCTCTCTCTCTCTCTCTCTCTATATATATATATATATATATAGGGGCCTAATCAAATGAGAACTAATCAGTTTGTGGTAACTGTGAGAACCAATATTAACCACAAATCAATAGATAAATTAGGAAATTTATAATTTTGGCAATTTTGAATTAAAATA